TCATCAGTCCGAGGAGCCACAACAACCCTAGCCCCACAAGCAGCACATTCACACAGTGGGCCGACCAGCTTGATGGTGATAAGATGGTTTCTGGGGTCTGCCTTTGACTCAACTTGGTTGGATTTTTTTTTACCTGGATTATTGAGCTGAACTTTGACATTTTGAACCACTTTGGCCATGGCTGTCTCAGACTCCAGAAACCATCTTATCACCATCAAACTTGTTGGCCCACTATGTGAGTGTGCTGCTTGTGGGGCTGGGTTTGATGTTGCTCCTTGGACTGAAGGTGTTTTGGGTGAAAGACAAAATGTTTCAACACAATGAAACCATCCAGAATACTGAATTAACTTTGGTGGATTTGGTTAAGAATGTTATGGACAATCTCATGCAATATTGGATGTTGTGCATGTGTTGGTAAGGACCCTCTGCTACTACCACAAATTTCAGCTCATAATCTGTAAAACTGACTGAGTTGTAACCATTTTGGTGTTGGCTAATGTTGAGGATTTGTGAAGGCTGTCTTGAATGGGACCGTCTCCAAAGTTTCATCCTGGTACATTTGATGATTATCTTCTGGAAATTTCATTTACACAAGCAAATTTCAGAAGCAACAAACATCCATTTGGCAGCACTTGACAATAAACCTACCTTTATAGTCCCTGAAAAGTTTCAATTTTTGACTGAAATAGTTGTGTTTAGCATTGAAACTTTACAGATGAAAGAAATCTACTGTTGCTGCAAAGTGACTCATTAGCTGCATTTTTTTAAAAAGGCTTTTCTGGTTCTTTTTGGTTCAGGGACATTTTGCTAATTACTGAAAAGTTTCCTTTTTGCTCTCTGATTCCTGGAAAGTTCTGACAAATTAGTTGGCGAAGCTGAAATCCAATAAATGGGGAAAAAACAGACTGATCCATGAATCCATACAAACGGTGAAAGAAAACCTGCTTGAGTGTTTGTTGGCTACGAAGAAATTGTTTTGTTTGTTAAAATTAAATGTTTGTGATTTACTTTGAGTCAAACTTAATAAAATAGTTTAGTGGTTGTTGCAAAAACTCAAATGTAAAGCTGCAAACTCTTTACATTAGCACTGTTTTTCCATTTAAATATTTTCAGTCTATATATATTTTCTGATGGCATGAATAATGACTGTCACTGAAAAGTCTCCCCTCATTTTCAGATAACTCCCAGAGCCCGGTAGAGGAATCAGTCGGCAGTCACAGCCACATGAGCCCCATGGAGCAATACAGGCGCATGATGTCTGCACTCAGCGAGCAAGGGTCCTTTGAGGAGCAGCAGCAGCGCCTCTTCCAGCTAGCGAGCAGCATGGGTCTGCCTGGCCACGGTCAGTCTTCAGCCTCTGCACTGACGTCACCATCAAATCAGAAACCTCAGAGCACAGCTGACTTTAATGATATTTTCTTGTAACCACACACTGATGAAAGCTTGATTTATTTTCCTCATTATTTTAGAGCTATTTTAAATGTATTTAGACTACAAGAACTTTTTCTGGGAGCACGTCAGCAGCTTTTCAAAACAACAAAATAACACGTCTTCGATCTCATCACAAGTTCAGTGAGGTGCAGCGTTACATTTTAACCTCGGAGTGCAGCTTGGTGTTCAAAGATCTGTGCTAAGGTCTGCCACTCTGCTGCCAGGGTGAAACCCCAGCCTTGGAGATGGCTGACATTTCTATTTGTGGATCTTGCCCACCCAGTGTCAAAGTGTCAGCCAAGGTGATTTCTGACCACCCTGACTCTCTGCTGTTAACAACACCCACATACATCAACACTATGATTGGTTCGGAGGCTCTTGCAGGCTGTCTGCTAACACTCTAAATCTCCTAACGCTCAGGAAACCACCAGCGTGTCACAAATTTACTGTTTCCACGGGCAGAAAATTGATTGGATTTATCCTAAGGCAGAAAATAGGTTTTTTTTTGTTTTAGTTTTAGACTTTAGCATTCTGTGTATTTCACTTCTCCTATCATGAAATCTTTAAATTTCTGTCACGTTTGAAAAAAATTGTGACATTGGGTCCAATCAGGCTTTATGAGCTCTTTCAAAATAGCATAAATCCAATCAGCGCTGCGGCCGAATTGAAGTTGAGCAGCTTTTATTTTTATTTGATTAGTAATGATTTTTAATTGCTGGCTGCAAATCTAGGGGGCGAAGCCTGTAAATGCTTTAAGTGCCTTTTCTCTGTGTCTTAGAGGATTTACAGGCAAAAGTGTCACATCTTAAGGGTTTTACAGCTTGGTCTGATTGCCAGCTTCCTTTTCCTGAAGCCCTGTTGGTCTTTAGTCTGGCACAGCACTGATACGTATGCTCCTCTCTTTCACTTTGCTATTTTATTCAGTAATATAGCTTCTATTTTGTATTATATTCCAGCTGAAACGACAGAGGTAAATAGACATGAGGATGATGGCAAAAAGAAACTAAGAAAAAATAGTTTAAAAAAGAAGGGGGGATGGGGTGTATTTCATGCAGTGAGACAAATAAAAAGTCCACACGTTTATTTGTCACACATTTAATGACAACTTATTGGAAAGCTTCCTTACAGTGACATGCAGTCTGCATGTTATACATCCTGTCAGAATCTCTAAATAAGTGTTGGCGGAGCCCTCGACAGCACACTGGGCAACTTTCTCCAAATATCCGTCAACTTTTTACAAGTTTATTTAAGGGACACGTTATAGCACAAACCCCACATCTTCCCTGTCTCCAGTGAACAAGTGCAGCTCGATAAGAAATCGTCACTCAGAAACAAAAAGTACAGAAGGTGGGATAGACTGTTTTGTCTCTCAAGAGGCTAACATGAATCCCTTCACACTGAACCCCCCCCCCTTGACACTGACCTGGTCTCCAGTGAGGCCACCATGACCCCTTACTCCCCTACCCCCTCTGGGCGCCTCTTCCTAAACATTTCTCTCTCGAGCTTGCTTCTACACCTCCTCTCCCCCTCCTCCTCCTTTTTCCTTACTGCCAACTCTCCCTTTAGCCTTGGTCCCCGCAGAGCATCCTTTCATGTGTTTGAAGTGTAGGGCACAGAAAATGAAAGTGTGTGTGCACGAAAGAGGCGGGGGTGAAGAGGATCTCTCTGTGCATGTGTCTGGATGAGTGTATGTGTGTGTGTGTGTGTGAAGGTGTAAGGTGTTGTTTGAGAGGCTCTCTCTGGACCTGACGGGCAAAAGAAGAGTTGGGGGAAAAGAGTACGGCAGGGGGAAGGTTGAAGTTGGGGGTGGAGAGGTGGCAGAGTTGGAGGAATGGCCAGAAGCCCAAATTCCCCCCACCCCCCACCCCCGCTCATATGATGAAAGAAGAGTGAGGGAGTGGGGAAATAAAATGAGAGGTGGGGGTAGACATCCAGATGAAAGTGAGAGGAGGGATGGGATGTTTTGTCTCCTGCAGTTCGGTCTGCATGGAAACATCGACATCTCTTCAGCATCAACTTAAAAAAAGTAGAGAAAAGTAGAGAACTCGTGCACACGATTAAAGAACAAAGACTTTTGGTGTAAGAGATTCATCGTATATCTACAGCTGTTCAAACTTAACAGGCTGACAGGACGTCCTTTCCTTAAGGGTTGCCTAATTTTCTGGTGTACGCAGAGCTTTAGTGAATGAATGTTGGCTTTTGTTTACCTGCCAGTTCACAAGATCCATCACCAGGCCAGCCAATCTGTATCAGCTTTTGTCTTCATTCTCGTGCTGAGGAAAACCCGGCTTAACCGAGGGGATTCAGGCCCAATGCCAGAAAGGACTGTGGTGAGAAAAATAGAATGGTAAACGCCTCAAAAGCTAAAATAATTAAAGCAAGAAAGGTATGAGAGGGTTTGTCTGCCCGCAATTAGGACTTGATGTTGTAGTCAGAGGGACTCGTGTGCACCAACAGCTGCAAAATGAGACGGGCTTTGGAGGAAAAATTAAGAATCCGAGTACGTACACTGTGTGCACATAAACAGACTCACAGAAGGACAGAGCCCCAGGAGACCCAGCTCCTCTCACTTCACATGAAAGAGAGTTGGAGGGATGGAGGCATCAGGACACGGACCTACTGCTGCAGTTTTATAAGCACGGACTGGATAAATACTAGATGGCAATAACAGGAGAAATTACTAAAATAAAGCTTTTGTATGGGTTTTAAAGTAATCATTTAGATTTATTAAAGCAATTTTTACTTATAAATCAAAAAATTTTCATGTTGTGTGCAGCTATAAATTAGTGTTTTCTATAAAGTAGGAATACAAGTAGTAAGTAGTAGTTTATTTTAGTGTGTGTGTATATATGTATGTATATATATATATATATATATATATA